GTCCAATACCGCTTTTGATTGGATGCTTTTGTTGGCTACTTGCTTTCGGTGGAGTCGTATTTGCCGCATTCTACTGCTGTACAAAAATAGAAAGCTTGAGGTCTCTTTTTTCCCTTTTGGGCCTGTAAATAAGGTAGCTTAGCTTGGGGCCTGATTCCATTTGCAACTTTGGACTATAAATAGGTTTATTAACTTTATTTGCATCTAGATGATCTAACGACTTTATGGCTTCGATTGTTAGTAGCAGGTAGTAGCTGAGTGACAGAGTAGTGACCCCAATTGCTGCTGAATTGCTGTTTGGCCACCTCCTCCTCCTCCTCCTCCTCCTCTTCCTCGTAGCTACCATCATCATCATCATCCCCTCCTGCTGCTGCTCCTCCTCCTCTCCTTCCCTCTTCCCCCTCGTGGCCGTCGCCATCCTCCTCATCATCATCATCATCATCCCCTCCTCCTCCGCCTATCTCCCCACCCCCATCATCATCATCATCATCATCATCATCATCATCATCATTAAATTACTCCGCGACTCCTTATCATGTGCTTTACTCCTCCTCCTCCTCCACCTCCTCCTCCTCCTCCTCCTCCTCCTCCTCGTCATCGTCATCATCATCATCATCATGAAATTGCCCTCTGATACCTTCCTGCACCAATGGTTCTCCCAACAGTTAACAAACATTTGACTCGTGCTTCACTTCCTCCTCCTCCTCCTCCTCCTCCTCCTCTTCTTCCTCCTCCTCTCCCTCCTCTTATTCCACCTCCTGCTCGTCATCATCATCATCATCATCTCTTCCTCGTCCTCGTCCTCCTCCTTCTCTTCCTCCTCCTCCTCCTCCTCCTCCTCATCATCATCATCATCATCATCATCATCAAATTTCCCTCGGACTCCTTCCTGCACCAGTGATGCTCCCACCACTTAACAGCATTGGCCCATCAACACTCCGCTCCGAGCAATGCTGTCGTGCCGCCTCTTTCTCCACTCAAGAGCCCTTGCGGAGTGCAGCAGACGTCAATGCTAGGCGCAGGCAGCCACCCCCTGTTCAATTAGAAAAGAAAGGACCATATCATTGTATGCATGTGAGACGAGAGACGCTGTTTTTTTTTTTTTTTTTTTTTTTTGACTTACTGCGGTTTCCGAGAGTCGCGTTGACAGTGTTGCCTTCGTCTTTTTTCTATTGCGACCGCCAGCCGTCGATTCTCCAAAGTTGTTTCTAAAGGAGGAAGGCAGAGATGATATGCGATCGGCAAGATCACCAAGAGTGCAGAAAAGATCGACGCTTCCGAGCGAAAAGAATGACGACGACGACTCAGCAGTAGCTCCAGCTGAGCTGTCAGTGTCATCAAGAAAGGCTTCTGCAGAGGTCCTAGCAAAATCAATCTGCATTAAAGCCCCCCCCTCACCCCACCCCCACAATTAAGGGACAGAATTAAACACCACCCCCCCAATTAAAAGACAAAGTTAAGCACCCCCCACCCCAACATTCCGTCATGTGGCTCCATTGCCGAGTGCATTGTCGCCTTCTATGACCCTTCTCTCTCTCTCTCTCTCTCTCTCTCTCTCTCTCTCTCTCTCTCTCTCTCTCTCTCTCTCT